GATAGTGGAACTTTCTCTTCTCCAGTTACGTGCTACTATAATCCCTCTCCCCCAACAAACACAAACACACACACACACACACACACACACACACACACACACACACACACACACACTCTGATTGATTGATGTGTTTAGACGTGCAGAGGTGACGTGTTCATGCTAGCAGGGGGTTGCATTGTATAGTAAGAGAGGTAAAACGAGCTCCGTGTGTGTGTGTGTGTGTGTGTGTGTGTGCGTTGGGGGTGCTGGGTAAGATGAGATGGCAGATAGTTATCAGAAGAAAGGAAATCTTTTCTGTTCTCCTTTTGTCAAGTGCTCCCTGCATTGGTCTGTGTGTGTGTGTGTCTGTGTGTGTGTGTGTGAGATAACACTTAGTCTACACAAAAATTAAACTGCTAATACAGTCCAAGTAAAAACAAAACACATAAAAATGGAACGAGCATAAAACAAGTGAAATGTATTTATTGGTCAAAGGAGCTCGGCTTCAAGAATTTGCTCTGGAAATTTCTTAATAATGAAAGTTATAAGATGAAATAAATGACTTTTTGGATATGTATGTTGTGATGGTGAAGGCCATCAAAATCACCAAGCATCCCTCCTCTGTGGACCACAAGTCTTCTCCGAGCTGGCTGAGCTGTCACATTTTCATCCCTCAGCCTCGACTCGAAGCAGGATTCGATACCCGCGGTAGCACATGGCTAAGTCAGGTCAGGAAAGCCCACCTGCTGACCAAAACACAGCCTTTCTCTTCTGCCCAACAGTTATTTTTAACGAGCTCTGTTTAGCCAAAATGCTGAATTACAGTTAACTCTAACCCTAACGACTGTAGACTCGGTCCAAAGTGCTTGGATAGAAGACAGCTGGCCTTTGATTCAAGCACTTTGGACTGGACCATGACCTGGATGATTAAGAACCTGCACAGACACACACAACTACACAACTACCAACTCAGTTTGCTCACAGTTATGAGCAAAGTTAGCCAGCATCTCTCACTACACTGAAGCAAATATCTCAACTTTTGTGAAAAATCTTCCTCACACTGCATTGAAACACTCATCAGCTGAGATTCTCCTGACAATCACAATCCAAGGAGAAGCTTATGGACGCTGTCTGACAACAACAGGATTTCAGGGGTCTAACTTCTCTTTTACATTGACCCAGGGGGACAAAGGGACACGGCCTTGAGAAAAGTGAGAGAAATCATTAGACTTCATGGTGAGTTATGATAATATCTTACAGCAGTATTCGAAGTGTAAAACCTTTGTGTTTGGGTTGAATACATCATTGCACCAACTTAGGTCAAAAGCAGCCATTCCTCCTTCTGAACAACATTCCAGTTTGCCAATGTCGAGTCATTTAAAGTGACTGTCTCTGGAGACTGACAATGACCGTGAGACTACATGGACCAATGTTAAATAGCTAGCCAATGACGCTAATTTGCTAATGATGCTAAAGTTTTACATCTCCTCAAAACATTTGTTTTAACTTGCAGACTGCCAACACCAACTGACCGGCTGGAGCACAACGGACATTCCAGCTTACTCCAATAGATGATCATACCCAGTATAAGTCAGTCACACTTCCTAAAAGTCAAAATTCCAGAGGGATTCTTTGATTAAGCAGGTAGGAACTCACCACCAGGTTTCCGATGACCATGACCAGCATGAAGACGAGGATGCAGAGCGGCTGCCCTGCGACCTCCATGCAGTCCCACATGGTCTCTATCCACTCGCCGCACAGCACCCTGAAGACGATGAGGAACGAGTGGAAGAAGTCCTTCATGTGCCAACGAGGAAGAGTGCAGTCCTTGGAGATCTTACACACACATTCCTGCAGAGGCGGCAGAAAGAAGCTCAATGTTCTGAACAAGCGACGTCAGGCCCGTACCTTAGTCTGGGTCAGAAGTGTTACCTGGTAGTTTTTCCCAAACAGTTGCATGCCGACCACAGCAAAGATGAAGACGATGATGGCGAGGACGAGCGTCAGGTTGCCCAGAGCGCCCATAGAGTTCCCGATGATCTTTATCAGCGTGTTGAGAGTTGGCCATGAGCGAGCAAGCTTAAAAACACGAAGCTGCAAGGGAAGCGAGGAAAAGGAAGAGACAGCAGAGCTAAAACCAGGTTTCTCAGATGATGTCATGGGCACATTGCTCAAGAGTTGTCTGCCATATTGGATGTAATTGAGCTATCGGTTGCTAGGGAAAAATGCAAGTTGGCAGTGGTTCCTATGGCTGTTTCTAGGTTAAATCAGATGTGAAGACAGTGCTACATGAAAAACCACACAGACATTCTCCTTCAAATTAAACGTTGTGCCTCAGCACTGCAGCCAACATGTTGCAAAGACACAACTATTACTTTGAAGGTAAACTCTTCATTTCTGGTTTGTGTCACACTTTGCACAGTTTGACTGCAGCCCAGAGAGCAGTGTTTGTGGGCAGGTGCATGACGTCCATTCCAACTACAACTGCAGCAACATACTGGTGGTCAAAGCAATCACAAGGAGGATGGGCAATTAGGGGTGGGCAATATAAACGATATACAATAGAAACAATATAAATTTGGCCAACGATAGAGATTTTGACTATATCGCTCTATCGCGATAGCACATGTTGATGATGTCATCAAGCGGCGCCTGTTTTGGTCGAAAGCATCGCAGCGGCTAAAACCATTATCATCTGCAAATTATGGCGACAGTCACAGCAAAGAGATGAAGCCCTTTTGAAATATGGGGAAAGCCAAAAACTGCGCTTCCTCCACTTCCGTAACATTGATTCATTAATGTTGAATTCTCTCGCAGCTGTTCTATTCCCATGTAGTTGCAGTATATTAATGACTAACCTCGTATTGTGGATGAATAATCTCAGTTGTTCTCCTGACTGAAGTTTGGCCCGTGTACAGCATCCTGCTATGCGATTGCATTTGTCCCTGACCACCAGAATCCCTCATGTTAACTTTTAATGAGTGGAAAAAAAGTTGGCGTTCATCCTCCAGCTTCATTGTGCTAATGTTATGCTAACATAGCTGTGTCGCTAGCAATCATGTAGCACAACATTATATATCAGGTAGTCAAACTTCAGTAACCCTACAAACTTCACTGCTGTTTAGTTTCTGTCTTCATTTATGTTGGAAGTGGTAGCAGAGCTGTACGTTTGAATTGTTTCAGAAATCTCTCAGTCAGAACATGGTATGAAATGTTTAGGTGTAAACTAGCGAGCTAACTTCCTGTTAACTTCTGTCTCTGTTAAATTTAATAAATTCTGTTTTCATGGATGCATTGATGTTAAACTTAATTGTTACACCCGATAAAGCAGCAACGCTGATGATTTAATTAAAGATGAAAGAATTTAGACCGTTTTTAACTCTTAGTATTCGTTTGACTTTGGGACCTGAAGTTGACGGAGTTTTGGACCCAGATTACTCCGCGAAGCTTTTCACTACGGCAGCCATAATGCTCTGACAATCCATCAAGCAGTGCAGCTTACCAAAGTTGTACTAAAACATTTTTTTAACAGATTTCTGCACGCAGAAATCGGTTCGAGGTCAGTAAGCACAACCAGAATTCATACATAAGGCAGACTCTCGATTTTTGAGAAAATTAAAGGATTTTTAGTGTGGAAAATACGTTATACAGAAGAAAAGAATATATCGTGATATATATTATTACCGCACATGCTTCAAATTATATCATATCATTATATGAATTTTAGGCCATATCGCCCAGCCCTACGGGGAATACACCTTTTTCCCTAGCAACCACTCATTGGTCACTGACTGGTCTCTAGGCCTGTGTGGTTGGGACCTTATTCATCTGATCCTATGGTCACATGTCAAGAATAATTAACATCACATGATGGGTGTCTGTAAAACTTCAATACAGGATTTCTGAGGAGAGTTTGGTGTGGCCTGTCATGGTTAATATGCTCGGCAGTTCCGCAGTAACCAAGCGCCTAGCCTCCATTTTTATTAGGATGATAGCCAAGTTGCCTCGTGTTTTTCTGCTAAATTTCATCAGCTTTGCCTGAAATGTCATGTTTGTCTGAAGTAAATGGTGTAAATGTCTCTAAGATTGAGAGATATTTGGATCTTTAACAAGTCTGACAAAACAAACAGAAATTTAAATCGAAGATTTGAGGAAAATTGCTGATTTTATTTATTTGAAGTTCATTTGACGATCGTGTCTGAAGCTGCATACTCATATTGCCACAGATGGGGCTTTGTGTCGTTTTTGGACTCACAGGTGTTTTTTTACTTCTCTCTTTATTTTCAATAAATCAACCGAAAGAGAGAGGAAGACTCAAAGACAATGAAAGCATGAAACAAAATTAAGGTCAGCATCAGAGAGAGAGGAGAGAAAGAAAAAAACAGTATTCAAAATTACAGAGCACGGCTGAGAAAACAGAGGAACAAAAGAGAAACAGAACAGAGGAAGAAAAAACAAAGAAACCAGGCCGGCGCAGAAGAAAGGCTCAAACATCAGAGTGGCTTTATTAGTGTGTGCGAGTCTGTGTGTGTGAGTGTGTTTGCCTCTGGTAGAACCTGACAATACCCAGAGTGACACTTAGAAAGATCGACGCAGACTGATGAAGACAGCCTGCGAGGATCTGTGTGTGTCTGTGTGTCTGTGTGTGTGTCTGTGTGTGCGTCTGTGTGTGCGTCTGTGTGTGTCTGTGTGTGTCTGTGTGTCTGTGTGTGTGTCTGTGTGTGCGTCTGTGTGTGTCTGTGTGTGTCTGTGTGTCTGTGTGTGTGTCTGTGTGTGCGTCTGTGTGTGTCTGTGTGTGTGCGACCACTACTGTCCTCATCTTGTTTTCCTTGTTTGCCGGTGAAGCAAAATTGGACACAGTGGAACTTATATTTTGAGTGACACCGCTCATTATCAGCCAATCATCACGTCCTCTGCGAGGTGCGAAACATCCCGCTGAACACTGCCGTCTCATTGGGCCTTCAGCTGCCAATCAGCTGAGTTTCCAGCTCAATTATTATCTCCCGACTATGAATATACTGCGATGTCCACTTTCTTTAATAATTCCTAATGAAACAGAGAGCGGATGTAGCTGTTCTTGTGTTTGTACATTGGAATGTGCTTTCTACTGTCAGACTGCCTGTACGAGGGTAATGTGACACCATGTGACTTTCTATCAACATGTTTTAGAAACTATTTCTCCTGCTAAGATCTGAGAAAATGTAACAAGTGCATTTCTTTGTTTCTTGTAAAAACTGACTTGTTAGCCATTTACTCTAATGTACCTACCTTTAAGTATTTGTAGATAAATAAAATTAGATTTTTATTCAAAATAAAATACATTGAAATTTAATTTAATTACTCAGGAATTACATCCTTAGTTGGGTTTCAGGATTTTTAGTCCTTCCAAATCAATCAGAAATCAGCTGGCTGATGAACTACGTGTTGTAATGATCAACAACATTTTAATTCAAGCCACCCCTTTGTTGAATTTGGTGGTAAATGTGGGACAATCGGTGTGATTTACCAGCCTGAAGGAGCGCAACACGCTGAGCCCCTCCACATCGGACAGGCCGAGCTCCATGAGGCTGAGGCAGACAATGATGCTGTCGAAGATGTTCCAGCCCGTCTGGAAGTAGTAGTATGGATCCAGAGCGATGATCTTCAACACCATCTCTGCTGTGAAGATGCCGGAGAACACCTGAAAGAGACACAGCAAGGAATGTAAGCTAGGTTTGGGACGTGGGGAGAGCGCTGCAACGCTGTTTTATGTTAGCATTCTTTAAACACACACATAATTTTCCGAGACTGTTTTTACAGCAGCACGCTCTGAATCACAAAACGGTATTCCTGTAAATGTTTATGTTAGCAGCAGATCGTAAATGCAGCAGCAAAGCCATGTGTGTCCATATTATTTTGATTAAAGATGATTAAAAGGACCTAGAAGTGTTTCTGAAATATCACAGCCTCTGCCTGTGTCTGCAGGAAGTGAAAACATATTTAACATGGAGAACGATGACAGCGGCAGCAGCATGTGCTCATGCTGAAGCAGACGTCGAGACGAGAAGGTTTTTATATTTTGTCTTTCACTTTGCTGCCCCAGGATGAGAGAAATCGGGCTTATTTTGAACTGTCAATCATGCAAAGCTACTCTAACCAGTCCAAGAGGGAAAATATAAAGCTGGAAATGACCGGCTTAGACAGTCAGCCACCACCCATGGGAAAAATGCTTTTCACACAATTAGACGATACAAGAGCTACAAAGTAACAACACAATGTTCTTGTATTGAGAGTACACAAAAACTGAAACTAATTGTAACACTTCAAAGCGTTGGGGTTAGTAGTACTGAGAATACAAAGGAAGCTGAGTCACAAAAGTACACACAACACAAAGGAAAGAATGTGGACATGTGCAGGTAGAGACAGAGACAGTCAGGTGAGGACACACAACCACACAGAGATACAAGAACTAAATGAAGGGCAGAGTTAGCCAAAGGGTAGGACATTTCAGACTGGGTTAGGTTCACACACACACACACACACACACACACACACACACACACACACACACACACACACACACACACACAC